CTGACTAGTATAGAAGGCAATAGTGACTGTTGAAATTGCATTACTGCAAATGCTTTAACACATACATGCCTATGGTACTGTCCCCATGAGTTAACGTATAATAAAGACAGCAGCAATTGTGTCCAATGATAATCATTAAGATTAAACTGAATTACCAAAACCTTGTTATTGTTATCAGTGTACTATATATCAATTACTTGATAGCATTAACAATTTTGGTCTTTTTTTTTTCCTTTCAAAAAATGTTCTTTAAGTCATTAAAAATAAAAATGCCAACTTCAACCCAGAGCTGCACGATATCAGCAAAACAAGAACATGCATTATCATTCCTAAATATTAAAATATCGATACCGACTGGGAGTAACCCACATTTCTTTTTCCATCTTAATGTTGACCACCACTATCCTTGAGTCCTCTACTTTATGTCTGGCTTTATAGTCAAGTAAATGTAATACTTTTTAAAAGACAAAAAGAGCATGAGAGCTTCACAAGTTAAATGTTGGAGTCACATATTTGGGAAACTTAATTTCTAAGCTGTGGAAGAAATTATTTGGTCAATCACAAAAAACACACAATACAAAACAATATATCCTCGTCAACTGATAACATGAAAATCTGCAGAACATTTGCACTCACAGTTTGACAACAGGAGAGCACCTACAGCAGTGTGTTTCTGTAATAAATTTCAACTGATCTGCAAACTTGTACACAAGCGTAAAAGATGAGGACCAACCATGCCTCTTGGTTTCAACACACACTGCTGTAAGTGTTTGCTTTAGGAGAAACGAGAGATCAAATTAAATGGCAAGGAAAAGAAACAATTCACAAAATAAAACATTTAAATAACACTCTACCGTGTGGAGGCCCATATTCAAAGACATGGGCGAAAGGACCCTCATGCCTGAACCATAGTCCCTTTGTGGACGAGGATCTGGCTCCGCTCACAGTCTTATATCAGTTCTAATGTCTCTTCCCCCAAAAGTCTTACTTTTAATCCTAGTAACTTTCCTCTTATGAATGGAATGTGTCTGGACTGTCCAGAAGTCTTTACAATTCACAGAAAGACTAGCAGGTAATTGTGTGATGTGATCCACTGTTAAATGTCTTTACAAAAGCAAGTGTGGAAGCTTTCTTTGAAATGTTCAATTGATGTTTTAGGCTAGGGATGCTCCCCGCCTGACACGACCTCCCCCATAAGCCCTTTATTTTATGTGTGAACTGTCTGGTTTGAGCTGAGGGGTCGGGAAGGGATCATCCGGTGCGGGCAGTGAGCGACCACCTCTTCGGAACAGTCCGGACTCCTTCAGGCCCTCGGACGGTGAGGGGCGGGAGCTGAAACACAATTGTCACCTGACCATACTGTCTTTTCTCTTTAGATTATGTGATATGTAGCTGCCACAGTACAAGAGAACAAAAGCAGTTTTGTTTTTTGCAGTGACTGGCTTTCTGTAAAGTCTGAGTCTTGTGACCAGTACAGCATTTTGTCAGCCTTCCGCCCCACCATTGTTCCTGCATGCCTGCAGTGAGAGTGAGGGTGGGGGGGGCGTGAGGAAGTCTTGACTTTTTGTTTGAAGGGGGGAGTTATTTTGATTGTCTTTACCTATCAGGTGTAAATTTCCAGGCACTCAGTTCATTTTGGGCCTGCTCCAGTTTGTCTTTAGTCTGTTCCAGTTCAGCCTTCATTTTGAGGAAAAACAAGTTGATGGCTGGATCCACCATGGACGACCGCAGCTGGGCCACACTCGGCTGCTGGACTTGCTTGAGGTACTGAATCTGGGTCTGCAGAATGCGACAAATGAAACTTAGTCACTGGTGTAGGAGTACAGCCATAAAACTTCACTCATTTCATTTGCCAACAGCACAAACCCAACATTAAAAATTAGGGTTTGGAAAGCATACAATTATGACACTCACAAAAGTTTGTGTTGTTAAAATGTTCCAACCCTCCTTATGCACTTCAGCACCACATCCACTACAAAATTTATGAGGTGTAGACATTAAGGCCGTTTACATCACATCCAACCGGTCAAATATATTACTGTTATGGGAAGCACTAATGTTTTGCAATCTACATATAACAGTCAACACAATACTGCATCCAAACACTTATTTGTAAATGGGAAAATTGCACAAGCTGATATTCAAATTTAAGAAACTGTGCATCTATAAGAAAAATAATCTTGCAGCATAAATGTTTGTTTTTTTACCAGTTTTGCGCACCAACTGGATGACAAAATTCAGATCATTGAGGTACGTAAATCGGCATACTAATTCTTTTAAAAGAAAATCCACCTAGAAGCCCATTTTACAGCACTTTGCTCATTCATCATTTGCAAGTATTACTCATTTTCCACCAATCTGAGATTTCTATTGATGAGTGTTATGCATTCAATCAATAAAAGCCTTTTAAAATACTGTAATGCATTAATAATTGAACATGAAAAAAAAGGAATTGTACGGTTTCATGAGAACTGCTTGTTAATAAACAGAACAAAAAAGTGTCTGTCCAGGGTAAAAACCAACATGGCAGCCAGCACTGCAAATGTTTGCACTCATATTATTGATGGTCAAATTTCAAAGTCATGAGAGAAATATCTATGGTTTTTCTCAACCACCAGTTGTCAAAATCAATCTGATATTGCATAAATTAGTTTTCTGAAAGGTGTTATACGTTGTTAACATTTCATATTATTACAATTACTAGTGAACATGCATCAGCATTTATTCAGCCACCATCTGAAGGCCAAAACAGGAGAGTTCCATTCATTCCAGTATAAAATTAAGTTCTATTTTCTGAATAATAAAAAAAAACACATCAAATATAACAATGAATAATGTTAAACTGATACATACTGTGCACTCTTGCATTTCCTGCTCCTTGGTGGCAAGTCGCATCACTAAGATGTTCTCCCTTCGTGCAGACTCCTGCTGCTGCTGCTTGAGCTTTTCCTCAGACTCCTTCAGTCCTGGCACATCGTTGGCTACGGTGTGGGAAAACAAATGCATCATCAGGGTAAATTTCACTGCTAAAAATACTAATGCAATAATGAGCTAACATCAAATGTACTTACAACAGAGCTCTGCATATTTTGTTTCAAGGACCTGGACGTATGCATCGTGTTGCTTCCACCTGTAAAACACAAAGAATTTGTTCAAGTCGTTATTAAAATACTTAAAAGAAATCAATTTAGATATCATCTTGCACATAAAACTGAGGGAGTGTTTACCTTGTACATAGCTCTTCTCTGGTCAAGGTTTTCATGTCAGACTCACTCAGGCGAACCTGTGAGAAGAGAAAAACAGCGACTGGTCAAATAATTCTGTTACCATTTTAGAAATAAATGGATCCACAAACAATTTATCTTAATAATAAACCAGCGGGACAGTACTAACCTTTTTGGGAAGAGGCTCCTCGTTGGTCATTGTGAGCTAGAAGTAAAGAAATAAGAGAAAACCGATCAGCAACCGAAGCTTTAGGTCAGTACATCGTCTTTTCAGTTGCCAAGGGCTGGATGTGGCAACACAATAAAAAGGTGCCATGTTTAAAAACAAAGACATAAAATACACAGTCAAATATAATGAGTGTGTGATGGAAGATAGATAATGCACTGATGTTCACCTATTCGCCACTAAAAGTTACCATAACCAGCTACTAATCGCTGTCGAGCCAAATGTTCGGTAGTGTGGCAGTAGCCAGCAGTTAACAGCGACGCACAGTGTAGAAGCTAACCAAGGTTAACTACTGATTGCTAATGACATTTACCAACCTGCTGAACATTAAAAACATTTAAAACACCGCTGATGTAACGCTACGGTGTTTTTTTAACGGTCGCTTATGTTACGTTCAATTCTTGGCTCCTGTTCGACTCCTTGTTATCACAAAATGGCGCTGAAGGAAATGACTCCCTCCCTTACGCTCCTTTTCCTGAAACTAGCGGGCTCTTGGCTGCGGTTACCAGGCCTAACGCCATCAAAGCACTCACCAGGCCGGTTCCTTTCGGTGTTTCCGGAAACACTCGGCTTTAATAATTCCTTGCAGGTCCAAATGTAAGAGATACGTTAAGTTTCGCAAAGGAAATTTGCAAGTTTCAGTCACGCTTCGGTGTCCGGACTCTCATCTTCCTCACCGAGGACAGGACAGAATGGCTCTGAACGAGCTGCGGCTGTGTTGCACCCTGGCTGCTGCGGAGCAATGTCAAAGAGGGATTACAAAGGAAGATATAACACTCCTACTTTTTTTGTTAAAAAATTTGAACTGCATGACAAATTACTTTATTTTTCTCATTTTTCTCCTTTTAGGTTGTCAGTACATTAAAATTTTAGTACCCTTCGAGCCCGAAAAACAAAAATGGTTTTATGAATTTTATTTAGATATAATCTATATATAATTACAAATGTGAGTACTAATAAAAAGTATTTTCAGAATAGCTTGTTAGGCTAAGACTGAAACATACATGCGAACATATTTTTCACGATATATTTGTAACCAATTTATACTCATTCTAGACTGGTTTAAGGAACATGGCTACTTTTTTTTCCAAAAGAAAATCTTTCATAATTAACTCAAAATATTCAAGAGCGAGTTATCATCACTGTGTAGACGATCTCTGATATTACCTGTGACGTAGGGGACGGATAGTTCCATTTCACATTGTGGGATTCACGTTTTAACTTTTATTTTATTTATCTTTTATTTGTTTACTATACCGTTTACGCTAGGGTATAACGTTTCATAATATAATTATGACAAATAATAAATGCCTAAGTTTAAAACAGTTATTAAAATCTCCAAGTTGCGCTCACGGGATCACAGTGCACTCTAATCAAGGCCATAGGAATTCAATGCGAGTTATTTCAGGCGATAAAAATGGGAATTGTCAGAGTTTTTTAATTCTAAAAAATCTTAATTCTACCGTGTAGTTCGTTGTGCTTCTTTATTATAGTATTCGCCGTCCCCACACAGGCTTATATAAGTCCTACGCACCTCACGAACCCCCCGTATCTGCTGATAATAGTACCGTCTCTTAGGCTGTCAACTTGAAGTTGCACATTTCAAGGGCAGTTTCAATTACTTATTGGATTGGGCACAAGTTGTTGTAATCTTGCACAGAGTTATAAGAAACATGCTTTGCAGAGCTGGAGAAATACGCAGGTAAGGCAGCTGAATAATACCACTGAAACTGAATAGAGAACCAGTGGAGCTTTTGCTAGCGGCAGTCAAATGCTAACTTGCAATAGTTGTATGTCGAGTGCTAACAGTTAGCTTGTCAGATGCTAAGTTAGATTAGCTACTAATTTATGTTAGTTTATGGTGGACTAAAAAGGATTTGGGTTAATTTGTGGTTATGTATTCTTATGTTTTGGTGCACTTGTAAAGTGAAGTGCGGCTTTGTAAAAAGAATTTTAAAAAAGTGTACCCGAAGCTATTTGCTAATTCGGTTGATGTTTATCCACTTTGTATAACCAGAACTAAATCAACGTTCACCTGGTCAGCTAATGTTAATTTTCTTTAGTCCACAATGTCCTGCAAACTTGCTTATAACCCTAGAATGTTGTTGACATTTTTTACAAAACCTTAGTATTCAGTTTTGCAATTATGTGATCAGCTTTCAAAAATGTTTTAAAACTTAATCCTACTTTAATTTTTTCAAAAATTTTTACTGATATATATATATATATATATATATATATATATATATATATGTTCCTTGGTCTTCAAGATTGCTTGTTCACCAGTCTTCTAAATAAAATCCACTCACAAAACACCTGCATTTATACTGAGATCTCAGTATAGACCTGTTTTACTAATTAGGTTATCGCCAATGGTTGCTCTAAATTTTATTTGGAGGTAACTGAGTAAAGAGGGCTGAATACAAATTCACACCACTTTGACTTAATTAAAAACAAAAAAAAAACATCTTGTTTTCCTTCTATCTCACAATCAATTTGTGCTTCATTTGATCAGCCTGTCGCATGACGTATCTGATTGAAGTATGCAGTTGTAAAGTGTAAAAAAAAAGAAAAACTGGAAAAGTTCAGTTTACATATGCCATCAACAACTGGTTCATTCTTTCCTTTGTTTTGTTTTCTTTCCAGATGTGCTGTCAGTCTCAGCCAAAGCATTTGTAAGATAGCTGCATCTAGGCAGAAGCACACACTTCCTGACCTGACATATGACTATGGAGCCCTGGAGCCTCACATCAATGCTGAGATAATGCAGCTTCACCACAGCAAGCATCATGCCACATATGTTAACAACCTTAACGTTACGGAGGAGAAATATAAGGAGGCTCTTGCAAAGGGTACAAATGGCCACCTGAAGTCACTCAAGATTGCATGAATGCAGATTTAAAATTAGGATAGTTTGGGAATATTTTCCAGGGGTGCATATTTATGTTTCCTCAAACATCTCTCTGTAATCACTATGGGTCTTAAATTTTGACATTGCTGGTGTGTGACTTATTGTAGGAGATGTGACTGCACAAGTTGCCCTTCAGCCTGCTTTAAAGTTTAACGGCGGCGGCCACATTAACCACACCATCTTTTGGACCAATCTCTCGCCAAATGGTGGCGGTGAACCCCAAGGTGAGGCAGAAACAAAACCTTATTTTGTTTGTTTTAGTTTTTTAACTCTTAAGAAAACTTATTTCCAACCTAAAATGATGGTGTGTATTGGACATGAATACATCAGTAGGTCAAAGTGATTTGCTAGTTGCAGAGACATAATTTGAGTGGTTGTGTTTTTTGTTTCGTTTTGATCTCCTTGACCTGGATTGGTCAGGGAAATGTGCTAACTGACAGTGTGGAAAAATTCATTGCACTTCCTTGGTGACTTTAAAATAACATAGCCGACGGAGGACACTTATTGCTTACTGGCTATTAACTTTATAGCCTGGAAGTTAGTTTTACTGAGACTTATTTCGGATCATGGATGTTATTGCTCTAAAGCAGAAATCTGTCTTTCAGGGGAGCTGATGGAGGCCATCAAACGGGACTTTGGCTCCTTCCAGAAGATGAAAGAGAAGATGGCCGCTGTCACGGTAGCTGTCCAGGGCTCAGGCTGGGGATGGCTCGGTTACGAAAAGGAGAGCGGACGACTTCGCATTGCTGCTTGTGCTAACCAGGATCCACTGCAGGGCACTACAGGTTTGTTTAAAATGGCTTTGAAGTTAATGAGATGGGGCTATCTACTTCTAGTATTTCATTGTCATGTACATTTATTTTTTTTTTATCCCCCAAGGTCTCATCCCTCTCCTTGGCATTGACGTATGGGAGCATGCCTACTATCTCCAGTACAAGAATGTGCGCCCTGACTACGTGAAGGCTATCTGGAATGTAATCAACTGGGAGAACGTGCACGAACGTCTACAGATTGCCAAAAAGTAGAAAAGGCTCCTTAGTCATCGCCCAGTAGCACCTTTGATCAAAACCTTTCAAATAATGGATATGAAAAACATTTTTGGTTAAGCAGCACTTGCTGCTCAAAGACGTCTGTAGCGTTCATAAAAATAAACGATTCAAAGTGCTTTGCTGTTTAAAACAAACCACATCCCCCTTAATTAAGGAAAGCAATGTGAAAACCAAAGACTTCTGCAAATGCAAACCACCAGAGTCTTGTTAAAGCGCACAAAAACTGGCCTCCTTCTGACATAGAAGCTTGTCTCTTGTTTTTCATACCCAAGTAACCGGTGCCACATAGGTGCATACTTAAAAAGGTGTGTTTATGTCCAAATAAGTGACACTAGGATCAGACAATGTAACAGTTCATGTTTTTAATGTAATAAAATAGTGTTTCAATTGTACAGGCTTGACTTCTATGTTTTATAAATTGTCCTGGACATTACACTCACTTGTCCATCCTTAAACTGGATAATTCATACTGAAATCAGACGATGTAGGCCATCTGTAATTCTGAATTGAGATTTTCACTACTGTAACTCAATCTTTTTTGTAGTTTAAGCAATACGTGTGTCCTTGCTGGAGTAGATTGGGTTGCCAATATGTTTAAAGTACAAGTTGAGGTAATGCAATGTCCAGGTCAGTACCAGAAACATGTTTTCTTTGAAGAGGTTGCGTTAATGAGATGATCAATAGTAATTTGCTTTGATTTCTTAGAGCGGACTGTTTTGCCTGTGAATTCTCCACAAATTAGGTAATATGGGGAGGTTTATACACTTTGAGAGCGTTTGTAACTTCCGAGTATAATTTTCATTAGTCTCCTGAGATTTAATTATGTTTCTAAATGGTGCCAACTCAAGTCATCTCTGGGTTTTTTTCTTCGAAAATATGCTAAATTGTGTAAAATCTTACCAAGTTCAATTTCACATTACATTAATTCAAACCTAATTATAACACAGTCAAATTTAGATAATTGTATGATACGATTATCTAAATAAAAAAAAATTCTAAGCAAGTCCAGCTACTTTCATTGAGTCAGTGAATTTGTTCATTCTTAGTAAGCAAGCAGCAGAAGAGAGAAACCGCCCACTTCTAACAGGATTAAACCTCCGGAAGATCTTGGACAAGAGTGAGCAGTGTTTTCTGCATCATGTTAGCGGTTCTCCAGAAAGGAGACGAAGTACTAGGTGTACTTCCGATGGAAATGGTCCAGAAATGTTTTCCGTCTATTCCTGGCAAAAGAAATAAGAACATTCTCCAAAACGTTCTCAACAAACTGTAGCACTGTTGCTAAAAGTCTACTCAAACTTATAAAACGTACATATTGTATGAAGAAAATAGAGGCCTTGCTTTGTGCACTATTTCTTTCAGCCACCAGTCGGCAGTGTTTCCAAGCTCAAATTTACAAAAGCACCACAGGTAGTGGCTCATACCAGGTCTGTCTATTATTCAGTTACAAGCAATCATGCAACTAATTGTGTGGTATTAGTTGTTCTGTAATAGTTAGTTTCAGCAGAAGACACTCAAGAGTTCAACTATTATTTTCTGACACTATGTCCTTTAATTAATGGCTTAGTCAGTCGGTTGCTACATAACAAATTGTGGTTGGTGAATCATAACTACACTAGGCTGATCAGTTTCCTTTACGAATGCAAAGACTAATTTGGAAAAGTGAATTCGAGAATTGCTATCATCCAAACCAGAGAAGTTCCAAAATTCAAATATGGTTATGCCTCAAAAATGAAGGTTCACTACCTAATAAGAGGATTACCAGAAGAAATATAGCACTAGTTTTTTTGTTTTTTTTTTCTTTTTTTTGCTGAGGCTCATTTGTGCAACAAAGCAATTTCATTTTAACAAAATGCAGGATATCTAACCTCTGGAATGAGAATTGGAAAATGTTGGACAAATATTTAAAAGTTATTTCCTCCGAGTTGCCCAGATTTAGTTGAGCGTATTTCAAACCCACAACACACACATCATTTGAAACACAAGCTCAACTGCTGGTGCTGCTGAATCTCTGTGGTATATGGAGGCATGCAACGACACTGGCGTGAGGGTTTGTTTTGCATCCATTTTTTCATTGTCAACACATGAGTTCTGAAACTGCCCCAGCTAAGCCGGACACCCAGTTGCATTTATTTTTCTGCTTTAACTGATTATTTGGCTACATTATAAAAGTAACTTAATAAATACGCATGACCTTGCAATCATAGAAACTGCTTTGCTCTAAATTCCCATGAAAATATCCTTTATCGACCTTTTACATTAGTCATAAGAAGCTCTCATGTGCAGAAATGGCATTTTGAGTCTTGACGTTTTTATTACCTTGAAGTGTCATGTTCAGAGTCTTATCTGAATATCTGTCAGTACACATGTTCAAATTCAGATAATCTCTAGAAACTAGTTTACAGATTCAGAAATAACATTACTTTTGTTTAGGCATAGATTAATTTGTTAAACTCTGAAAACTGTCTTTTTTTGTCAAATATTGACACGTGATTAAAGTTTCTGTCTCTTAGGACAGTGTCCCAAGAGTTTTGAGAGAAACTAAGGCATTAAAAGAAAACAGCAAGAAGCCTTGCTCAGCCAAATCTGAACAAGGACAGATCACCCCGTTCAGACTTGGTTATGGATAAGCATTTCTGTTCGCTTCGGTTGTCTATAATTGAATAAAATTATTTTTTTGTGTGTGTTTTGCCTCTCTTGCATAACTTGTTTTCAAATCTAAAATGAAAAACCACCACAATATCCGATGACCTTCACCAAAACTTTCCATTTCTAGCAAGCTTCAAATATGAACATGAGACATGCTTAAAATTTCCACACCAGCCAAATTAGAAACAGAACTGTGGCAGATTTTGAGTGATGCTGTCAGTTCCGAGTGAACAAACAGATTTCCGGACCACACTTTTGTTTTTTTATTGTTTCGGTTCTGGTGGGAGAAGCTGACTGACTTATCCGCACATGGTTCCAGAACTTTGAATTCCTCTTCCTTCTTTTTTTCCTCCTAAAACTTTCTGCTCAAAATTATGCCTCATACCACTTCCTTTAAACATCTTAAACTTTTGACTGTAATGAGGTTTATAAAAATGTTCTGAATATTTTTTTGAGTATTATATTTTATTACAGTTTCACTTATCCTATAAATGTTTCATATGGTTGCCCTGAGCGTTGTCGTTGCTTATCAAGGTTCCATCTGACAATCTTCCAACTTGTCAAGTTGCCCTATTGCTTCTGAATGAACTATACCTACTCTGTCTTATACACAAGCTGCCATTGTCCTAGTTGGACTTGAATACAGTCAGCATTAAAGAAGTAAAACTTTCCAGGGCTTGTCGTCCACTGTTCCTGGCAGATAGGGTGTCAGAAAAAAATTCTGGGCACCCGTTTGGGTCTCAGCCCGGGTCTGAATGCTCAACCAGGTGCTGAGTGCGAGGAAGCAGACATTTCAGAGGCTGTGGGACTCTATAGGAAGCTATAGTACTGCAGTCTGTGGATGATTGATTCATCCATGGCTGTTGAAAACTCCACGCAGACAGATACACATTCCCAGGAGCCGGAATAAAGTAAAGGTGTGCACAGTAAATTTCCGTAACTCCGCTTTGAAAGTCTCTCAGTCACTTTAGAAAGTCTGCCTTTAAAAGAGAGGGAAAAGATTGTTTTAGCAACAGGGTGTGACTGTGTGTGTGTGTGTGTCTGTTAAATTATTTGTAGTTATGTAACTGCTGGTCTTTACTCCAGTTAGTCCAAAGGCTTGGGACATCCTTTAGGCAGCATGGCGGAATAAATCACTGCAAAAACCGAGGTCATTTTGGTTCATGTTGGATTCAGTCAGGCTTGGAAAGTCCACACGGAAATCTCTGAGTTTTCTTTCTGAAAAATAGAAAGATCCAATTGTTGCAAAATGTGCTTCAAACAGGGATCATGACTGCAAACATAAAAAGCCTTGTATCCATAATTGAACAATCATTCTGCAGGATCATCATAATCTGTGCATAAGCTTTTTATGAAACTTGGAAGCAAAGGAACCCTGATCAAGTTTGTTTGGGAATTATTTCTTTCCACATTTTTTGTCCTTCTGTCATTATCTGATGTTGTTTCATACATTAGTGTACTACTTATCTAGGCAACTAAGGTCGTTTGGCGTGTAATGTGATAATAATCCTGTTGGATTTGACCCTAAGAATGAAAACATTTTCCTCCACAGAATCCGTGTCTCTTTTTCTCCCGCTGTGATGAGAGTCAGCACTTAGCAGATCCTTTTTGGCCGCCAGTTCAGGATGTCAGAGGAAGGGAGACGAGGAGGAAAGCTCAGGGAAACTGGATGATTCCCAGCAGCTAGAGCACCATAATACAATAACCGTCCTTCATGCGCAGCAGACTGGATCTAATCCTGGGAATGCTCTTTCTGGTCCAAAAATGATCCCACTTAAAGTGATGCATCCGTCTCTCCCTGGAGGTGGTATTTTACACACAAGAGATGGGCACATAAAACGTAATTTCAAGTCATTAGCAATGCTTGGCAACTCATTCAGTTTCTTATGGCTTCTCAACTCGTGAGCCAGGGTTTTTAAAAGATAATCTTACTAAAATAAAAAGTCAAAGTGATTGGCGTGCTTATTTATGATACCAGGCATTATCTCGTACCTAACATATGGAAAGAAGCTGTTTCTTTAAATATTCATCTTGCGCCAGTGTAATTCTTTAAGCAGACACAGTAGCACATTTTTAGTTTCAGTAGAGTTTTGACACACTATAAATTATTCAAATGTGGATTTTGTTTTGGGTGAAGGTTTGCCAGGAGATTAGCAAGCATCTAGAAAAGAAAAAAAAATTCGGAGACATCAAAGATAAAATGATAGATGAACTGCAAGGATATGATGAAAATAATGACTCACTGTGAGCATAGTTTGCTGGAGAAAGTACAGTAAAAGATTAAAAACGTCTTCTAATAAATTGAAGGGGCAAGTACTTCAGTTTATTAGCCTATGCTAAATTTTAAAATGAAAATCAAACTACCACTTTCCTTTTGTATTGTTTTTCATTATTAGTGTTTTGAAGAGTCCCATTACCAACAATGGCAAAATCCAAATTTTACTAGAGTAAATTATGAGTTGCCCATCAAACTTTGGTTAATATTTTAAACTTATATGTAATATTTTGCATTATATGTTACAGTATATGTTGCTTTTTTGGCAAAACAGTTTTCTTTTATGAGAGAATATATAAAGTAATACACATATATATCTGTCATCCTGACAGAACTGCCGCATGACACCAATAGCCCAAACCTAAACAACTGGGATGGTGTTTTCAGGTTTGCAAGCTTCTTCCTTTTCCTCTAATTATAATGATGAGCATTTTAGGCAAACACTTCCATTTAAGTTTCATGAAACCACAGGACACGCATCCAAAAATTAAGGTCTTCTTCCCTTACCGCATTTGCAAATTGCAATCTGGGTTTTTGTGTTGTGTCTAAGGAAATGTCTTCAAAGGTTGACTGGTTACGGATAATGACTCCCTGTCCAACTTCAACCTTCATCTTCATAAGATGCTTTTCTTTTTTTTTCTTCCAGAAACACATTTGACACTGGATAATGTTTATTTTTGGACACAGAACCCATCTTTCTTCCAGTTTAGTTGAATGTTTTTCAACCTTGATCCTCAAGGCACACTGCCCTGCATGTCTTAGGCATTTCCCTGCTTCGGCACACATGATTTCAATTGATGGCTGATTAACAGGCTTTTGCTGAATTGCAATCATCTGAAAGGAGAGTGTGTTGAAAGCAGGAAAACATCTAAAACATGCAGGGCAGTGTTCCTTGAGGACCAGGGTTGGGTAACACTGCCTTAGAGTACGTCATCACAGGTTTGTCTCTAATTATTGTAAACACTGCAGTTTAATAATTTAATCTACTAGAAGCTTAAAAAGCCATTAAGCCATCATCTTTGCTGTCCCAAATTGTTTAAAGGCATATATGTATGCATATATATGGTATAAAGTTTGAAACTATTTATTAAAATATATAAAGTTTGAATAAAAATCATGTAGGCAACTATCTTGTTCATTACTCTGACCGTACGCAGTCATTCTAATATGAAAGATGTAATGTTAAGTCTCATATACAACAGTAATAACATAATGCAAGATAAAAAAATATATATATGTATATCTGGTTGTAAGTGTATGTAAATACCACAATGCATGTCTGTAACTTTTTCACTCTTCAAAGGGGCAGATTCGAGCAGCTGTTTCTGTTTTGAGAGAGAGAATGACAAATCTTCTAACATATGAAATGCTAACATGTAGAAAAGAAGTACCAGTAAGAGCTGATTTAAGGTCTTCAGACTGAAACACAAAACTGTTATAATTATAGATGTGCACTCTATTTTTGTTTGGAAAACTTAAAATTATCATTTCATAACACTTTTCGCCTGAAAATACAGTTTGATTTAAAAGCGTTGCAGTTTACCCCAAAAGGTTTCATCATGAGATTTGCAAGTTTATCTTTAAACTGAAGCTAAAGCTTGAGCAACATTCACAGCAAGTTGATTCACAGCTTCATGATTCATTTGGCTCAATAAATCTATATTGCCACTTGAGGCCTAACTTCTTATTCTTTTGAGGCATTTCCAACTTTTCCCTCTGCTGCTGCAGGGTTTTTACATCCAACGGTGAATGGAAACAGCCTTAACGGTATTTGGCAGATGCACAATTGTGAGAGTCTAAAAGCCTAGCTTAGGTTCTTCGCTCAAATTCTTATACTTGAAACAGATGGTCACATTAGATTTCGAACATAAAACAGAACAACAAAAGAGGGTTTTAAGGTAATAAAAACCCAGCTGTATTGTAGTTGTGCTCTTTAGAACCTGCCTGGCGTTAGAGCGTTCCTCTAACACTTGCCACAATTCAATCCAAGAACAACTATCCGTGTCGAATTAAAAGTACTTGTTATGCGGTTAACCTGACATGCTTATGTGAAAACTAAAGTTAGGTTTTAAAGAGCACATAGGCTAAGGACTATATACAGGGTATATACTATGTCTACACATGCTTTCTGTAGGCTTAAATAAGCTTGTAGCATAATGGGACTTCCAAGATGTGACATTATTCTCCTTACAGGTTCAGGTCATGTACAGTGTTGCAACAGAGTAACACTGATTTTCTGTTCAGACTTAGACTAACTTCTTGCCAGTTGACACATCCAGAATGTGGAATCATTACTTTTATGACAGGTTAATGCTTTAATTACAGAAAATCATGTTTAATGATGGGATTATTTAAATCCTCATACTACAATATGTCTTTGTTATGAAAGATTTGATCTCTAAATGTGCCATTGTTTAATTTTCAAAGGCTACAGGAGATTTGCCCTTTCATTTTGTGCATTACACTTCTCCCATTTTTGATAAGGTTAGATGAGGTGGCTTTAGAAACTCATGATGAAAGCATCTGCGACAGTATTTGTTGGCTGCTGATTTTCTCCTGTTGCTGATGTAATTTGGTCTTCCAGGAGGGAATTACTTTTTCTTGCAAGCAAGCTAGAGACTCTTTGGAAGCAGAAGTGTTTTCCGGGGCCCCGACTTTGACAAGAATGTGGCAATTGCAGAATCGATTGATCACCAGAGCAAAGACTCAGAGGAGAAAGCCCGGTTTGCGTTTGTCAGTTGAACTTTTTCTCATCACCCTTAAAAAAGGACTATGCTTTCCAATTTGATGTGAAGGACATTTCACCAAAATATTTTCCAACTGTTGCTGATAGTATTTGGAAGACTGTATAGATTTGAGCTGGTAGCAATTACTCAGAGGTTTAGGGGTCAGGAAACTTGTTATGTGCAGAGAACGGAAGAAAAAAAAAAGTTAAAGGAATGAAGTTACTGTTCTTTATCTTGAAGGGTGTGGTAGGGTTTGAGGGTGGTTTCTGTTGGGAAAACATAAACTAATTAGAAATGTCATAATATTAACCAACATAAACATTACAGATACACTAGTTCTGTATATTTCAATACTATAACTTGATAAACTCTAGCATATTGAAGGCCACAAATACGAACACGGATGAGGTAAGTGAAAAGAGTTCCTTATGAGCATAACAGGATCTAGCTGTAGAAACGGTGACAGGAACGGGAAACCAGCTGGGTCCACATTGAGGGAAGAGGTAAATGATTAATATGGGTGTGCAGAATAACGGAAGATGTGCAGGCTGAGGAAGAGGAAGGGCTGGGATTGCTGCTGATCATGAAGATGGTGATCCAGGGTGAGGTGTGTATGTCCACTAACGCTGAGATCGGTTGAGAGCAGGTGAGTAGTTCTGTCGATGTTGGCTACTTGTTGTTTTTTTTCCAGGAAAGAAAGCGGTAGGTAAGGCAGTGGAGCGTGGACAGAAAGGTGAGCAAACAAGTAGGACTCCGGAGCGATGATACAATGAGGCAATCCAAGAAGCGCTGTGGGACAGGCAAAGGTGAGCCCGGAGAAGTTGGTGAGGCGTGAGGCATATCCCAGGAGGACGTGGACTGACTGCAACTTACCCAGGTGAGATCAGAGATTGGTAGAAAACAGTGATTAAGCTGAAGCTGGATGTGAGAGAACCATCTGGAGTCATGGAGAACCTGCACCTCTAAATGCACCTCCTGGTTACGCTTGATGAAGACCAAATGAAGCTGCACCTTCCCGACTAAACCTGCAGAGAGTTGGTAGGAGGAGAAAAGCAGCTAAGTCAACATGAACGCAACATAATAACAAAAATCTCTGCTACAGGTTAGCAATCAAATCTGTCATGCTAGCTAGCTGCTACTTTGCATGACTTTCTTTAAACAGAAGCTACATACATTGCTGGTATGTCATTGAAATATTATTAAATGGACTATTGCCTTTTCNCTACTCTTTGATAGGTAGATAATCAGAAAAGACAAGGAAATTTTCATGCCCTGAGTTGGGGGATGGGGGGCGGGGTGGGGGGGGGTAGGCAGTCATATTTTCAGATGACTGCCTACCCCTATCAGTAGCTAGAACAAACTTTTATTTTGACATGCACAATTTGTCTCTCCTAATCAATTAAATTATACAAGATGGAAAAGCATGATCCCCGTCTTAATGCGTAGGATATTTGAGCCTTTGTATTAGTTCCAGATACCTTCCAGTGTCGGCCGTCAGAAAACTGCCTG